TGACATTTTTATTAGCTGTTTGGACTCTCATTCTGGCGGCACCCATTCACTGTAGAGGATCCACTGGTGAGCAAGTGATGTAATGCTAAATTTCTCAAAATCTGTTCTGATGAACAAACTCATCTACATCTTGGATGACCTGAGGGTGATTATGTTTTCAGCAAATTTTCATTTTTGAGTGAATTATTTCTTTAAGGTTCTCCTAAAGCTGATGTTTATTGTCTGTGTTTGATTAAAATGACCAACCAGAAGTAAAATAGCATAGCTATTAGCACTAAATTACATAGGAAAAAATTAGAGCATAGTCAAAAAGGTTAACCGTACATGAAGAATGAAAGCATAATGACTGGCCCTTCTGTGAATGAAGCAATGATGAATAAGAGTCCTATACAGATCTCAAATTAAATCACTTGACCACCGAGCTTCATGAAACGGCATTTATGCAAATGGAGTAACAGAGAACAGTTACACAATCTCAATACGACAGCAGTATTGAACACAAAGAGCTGGTCATCTCTTGGGAAGAATCTGACATTAAAATAAGACAACAATCATCATATCTTGAGCTAATACCCAGTAAATCTTAAGTTCAAATTTGTTGATAAATTCTTTTAAAGTTCATTTGTTTGTCATTTTCCACCTCCTTTTTTTAAAATGAGGATTATGGCACCTTCGGTATTAAGAGATTCTAACCCTCGCAAAAATACAATAAAATAAAAACGAACAACAAAACAATTTTCTGCTCTGTATTTTTCCATATACAGTTCTAGTCACTCGGAAAATGTGGTGTGTCTGAACGTGTGTGCGCATTCAGCATGATTAGACATTAATATTTAAGTTTGTCTCACACACATGTCGGGAAGCTAAAGCCTTTTCAGCTCAATTTTCGGAAGCTTTGAAAGGGTTGGAGTTTTCTCAGCCAGAATGAGGCAGCGCTCAAATACTTAGTGTTTTCTGTAAGCACATCCCGTAATGCAGGTACATGCCATTCCTCTTCACCTCAATATCCTGAGAAGCGCTTTGGGGGCCTAAAACGGACTACAGAGGTTCGAATCTAAACAAAGGGTGTCTGTTCTGAACATAAAGTGCCGATGAAGATGACGCTCATGGGAAAATGTCCTCTTGAAGTATCAAATGGTCTAATGCACAGGATACAGGATCTGTCTTTTTGTCTGTCCAGCAGTCTCAGTGAGCGGGAAGACTCCAACTCCCAGAATTCCAAAGGTGCAAATGTGTAACCCTAAAAGAGACGGAACCTGTACAGTTCAGTCATTGTCGGAATGCATGTTCGATGCAAGTCGAAGTAAGAAACCATCTGACTGGCGTTGTCAGTCGGAAAGCCCGGACCCCTCAGTCCATTTTTGAGTTGTCTGGGTCAATTGAGAAGGTACAAGTGCCTTGCATTTATCAGACGTCCTTTTGAGTTTTTCGGCGCATGTTGGCTGCAACTTTTTTTGGGTGGGGGGATTTTAGAGACATGCAAACACAGTCACACGGTCAGTCCAGTGTTTTACAACAGATGGAAAGCAGATGCAGAGTCAATATTGCAGTCACGTCACACGAGCTGTGCTTTCCCAGCTTCTGTTAAGTCATCGCTGGATGCAGTTTTCCTGAATTGGGCTGAGGGACTGATGGGATATGTGTGCTTTGTAGGGCTGAATGACAGTTCAATGAAGGAAGTGGGATATTTAAGTCATATGAAAGATCTACTGGTCACATTTTCCACATCAGGACAGGAAGTCGCTATAGTTATGGAGCCATCGTTCTGGACCGGGCCAGGGAAGTAGGACAAGAGGGGGGAAATAGGTTGACCGGCAACACACGCTCTTGTATATCACACCTTAATTAAAATGTTAATTTGTTAAATCCTTCGCTCTGTTCGGTCAGTGGGGGTGTCGCTCACCCTCCAGGGTGGATTGCTTGGAGAAGATGGGGGTGAAGGGAAGGGTTAAAGTTGGAAACCCTCCATGGGAGCCTCACACTGCTGGAAAAGGAACTGCTGCTGCTGGAGATCAACAGCAGGGGCCAGGGCCGGATCTTCATCTTCTGTGTTGAAGTAGCGCTCGATCAGGTCAAAAGCCTTCTGGTAGATCTCCTGGTTCTCATGACCCTGTAGAAACTCCAGCTTGTCCAACCCTGATGGAAAGGAATAGGAAAAGGTTTGTCTTTTTTTTTGTAGACCCATATATAATATTACACATATTTTATAGAATAATATATATTTTTTTGTCTATATTTTGTGCCAATTCATTAATTTGTTTGTCTGTTTTACTTGATTTTAGTTGTTGAGAGTAACATTTTAGTTCAAACTTAAAATGTAAATAAACTATTTTATATATTAATATGAACATGAACATTTAAAACAAACATGTGAAAATCTGATCTCCGGAATAAAAGACATTGGCAGGATTAACACTGCTTAACATTAACAAAGATTTATTGTAGAAAGGTTGGGATGTAATGAAGGGTCTGAAGACCCCAGAGAAACAATTACAGGCATATGATCAGCTAAGGACGAATAAAGAAAAAAAAACTTACTATATGACATTAAAACAACAGTAAATTGTTATTATTGGAAATATTTTGTATTCATTTTTTGTTATTGTTATTATTATT